GTCCCATTTGTTTATTTTGTTTTGCTTGCCCAAAGAGATATATAAAAAAATATATATATATATATATATATATATATTACTAAGAGCAATGTCAGAGAGTTTACTGCCTCTGTTTTCCTCTAGGAGTTTTGTGGTTTTGAGTCTTACATTTAAGTCTTTAATCCATTTTGTGTTTATTCTTATATATGGTATAAGAAAAAATAAGCATCCCTATGCTCATTGTAGCATTATTTACAATAGTCAAGATGTGGAGGCAGCCTCAGTGTCCACTGATAGACGAATGGATAAAGAAAATGTGGTAGATATGTATAATGGAATATTACTCGGCCATAAAAAATGAAGAAATCTTACCATTTTAAACAACATGGATGAACCTAAGTGAAATAACTCAGAAAGAGAAAGACAAATACCATATGATTTCCCTCACATATGGAATCTAAAAAACAAAATAAATGAACAAACAAAACAGAAACAGACTTACAGATACAGAGAATGAAATGATGGTTGACAGATTGGAGGGAATTGGGAGATTGGGTGAAAAAGTGAAAGGATTAAGAAGTACAAGTTGGCAGTTACAAAATAGTCATGGAGATGTAAAGTACAGCATAGGGAATATACAGAGGGTGCCAAAAAAATGTATACACATTTTAAGAAAGGAAAACACTGCATTAAAGTTGTAATACAATGAATAATGTTAGCATTCATTTGATTAACGCCATCTTTTGAGCGAACGGCATACTACACATTGCTACCATAATTCAGTTCAACTTTGAAAAGTAATAGATAGATAACATTTCTTAAAATATGTACATTTTCTTGGCACCCCCCAGTAGACAATAATGTTGTAATAACTATGTATGGTGTCAGATGGGTACTAGGCTTATTGGGGGGATCTTATATAACTTTGTAAGTTATATAAATGTCTAACCTTTATGCTGTATATCTGAAACTGCTATGGAATGTCAACTGTCATTGAAAAAATATTTTTAATTGAAGGAAAAAGTGAGTAGGACACTATGAAACCTCAGAATTACATGAAAGAGTCAGTAGTCAGATAATCTAAGAAGAAGTACATGACAGAGAGCCATGCGTAACTGGCTAAAGGATGGGACCTGGAGTCACAGTACGAAGGTTCACATCTTAGCATCACCACCAAGAATTAGAAAGAATAATAACAACACCTTAGGACTGTGGTGAGAAGCAAGTGAGATAGTCTTTGTAATGTTACTATATAGGGGATAGCACAGTTATAGAACCAGAAGGTGAATTATAAATTACAAGTGGTTCACTATATGGTCCATAAAGCTTCCCTGTTCTCCCAGCTGGGGGGATGTAATAAAGGTAATAAGTAATTGCCAAAAAAGAAAAGGTTCTGTTTCTTTGTGAAAAGCAAAATAGGGAAAGGGAAAGTTAGGGGAAAATCCAGACTACACTGTAATCAAAAGAGAATTCTCTCATGTAAAAGATGGTACTTATGTTGATCCTAAAGGCTAAACATGATTCATAAAGAGAAAGAGAATGAGAAGAAACGTACAACAAAAGCCTAAGTGCATGAATGTGAGACCTGTAGTACAGCTATAGTTCTATCACTAATTAGTTATGCACTTTGGGGTAAATTACTTAATTATCATAGGCCTAAATTTATTTCCCTGTGACATATATAGGGTTTTATAAATTATATTATAATTACAGTTTTATATATATTCTATATTTCGATCATCTTCATTCATAGTTCTCTCTAGTTTAAAAATTCACACGGGAAGTGCAATATGTACCAGGATCCACTAGATGGCAATATATGGTTTTCTAAATGGATGTCTTTTCATAGAAAATGAAGATGTCTAATTATCAAACGAGTGTATTTAAAGTTCTCCAGAAAACACAGAGAAAAAATTAACGAATTTCTCATACTGAGGTCATTATTGAAATTTATAAAGAGAAAACAGATGTTCTTAGCCCCTTTGTTTTAGACCTACAGGTATTAAAGTGTCATTGTTAGGACATTCTGTTAATCTTTTACTGCCAGGATGGGTTATTTCATAACAAGGAAGTAAACACAGAATTATTTGCATGGCCTCCAATTCTGAATTGAGCCAGTACAAAACCCCAAAGACCCTTATCCTGAGTCAAATGTACCAAGCCAATCATTCTTAAACTTTTTCATCAAAAAGAGCCTACATATTCCACCATACTCCTCCATTAAAAAAGAAAAGGAAAAAAAATCTATTTGTTTTCCAGCATGATACATTTTTTCGGATGGTGTTAACATTATCATTTTTAACAGTAAGAGTAAACTATCCTTATTTTTTAAATTATGAGTATTTAAAAGTTACAAAGAAGAAAATGAAAATCATCTTTAAGCAATAACAATGTTAAATGTTTCTGTCAAACTATTTTTGGCAGATGAAAAGAAATATAGATGTGTCTTTTCATTTTTAAGTTAAAAATATTTTAAAATCTTTCCATGTTAATAAATTTATTATATTAATGATCACTAGCATTCAATCATTCACATGTAAATATTTACAAAATTTATACAGATACTGTTCTGAGGCAACATACTTTAACTGAAATGTCTGGCCTTTCCCGACAACACTGTTCTTCACAAAATTGACAGAAATGGCCCCATTTAAACATGAGTAATAAATAGATAGAAACTTATGCAGACAAAAGGAGAAAGACAACAGAGTATAACAGAATTTAACAAATGAGCTGATAAAAAATACATATCAGAAAAATGTTGACAAGAAGCAGATTAGCTCAACAAGCATTCAGGCAATGATCTGAAAACAATGAAAGATTGATTACATGACCTCTTTGTAACAATATCTCAGGCAAGGGAGCAAAAGGAACACTTTTGAAACTACATGGGTAACATGTAGAGAAGTCTAGAAAAAGAAAGTTAAAAAGTAACGCAAAGACCAAAATTAAAAATTAGTAGAGACAAATGGCAGATGTGGGAGGGTGAGACTTCGTATTTTTTAAGATACTCTGAGATCACAATAAATGAACTAGAAATAATTCTTCAAGTATCAGAAGAAAACTTAGCTGAAAATAATGGAAAAGCTGAATCTTCAAGTAAAAAATGGATAACATGCCCCATGCAAAACCAACAGAAAACAATTATATATCTTTGTGAAATTACTGGACTCAAAGATGAACAAATAAAAAAGAGGCCTCCAAAATAAAGAATCTCTGAAAGGCTAAAAGTGAAAAGGATACACCAGACAAATGTAATGAAGATATGTTATAAATCAACTAATATGGTATCAACAAAATCATAAGCAAAAATTAAAAAAAAAACAGGAAAGATAGAACGAAATACAGTAATAGTAGGAGAATTAAGTTATTTCTCTCAGCCAAATAAAGTTCAAATACTCAAAACATTCAGACATAGAAGATCTAAATAAAATTGTTATTTAGAAGGCCCTTAAACACACCTTAGGAGTCAGTCTATGGCATGGTGTTATGTTTTATATGTCACTAATACAAATACTGAGAAATACGTTCAAAATGCAGTGTTGAAGGGTCTCTCTTCAGATACAAAACTACGTATGTAGGTTTTAAAAATTACATTTACAGCACAACTGAGACACTGACCAGTAACTGTGTTTTAGTAAAATGTCACAGTATGTTATTTAACACAGTCTTGAAATCAATCCAATTATTACAGTCTCCATGGCAATAAATTATCCTACTTTAAAGCGATCTTGGCAACAAACTAGAGGTAGACTCATGAAAGAGATCTTTGAAATTAGTTTTCTAATTTGCCTATAGCTATCTAATAAATATTCCAGTCTTTTCTATATTATTATCTCACACTGCACTAGAAAAGAAGCCATATTGTTACTGCAGGGTAGAATTGATATTCAAGGATAAGTAAATTACTTTCAAGATGTAATAAGCAGCTATATTCTTCCTCAGAGAACAACTTCTATTCCAGTTTTAAATCTACAGTCTATAAACCATATTTAGTACCAGTTTTCTTTCTAACAGTGGCATAAAAGGCCATTTCTCAATCAAATCCAATGTTAACTTTAGTTGTGCAAAAAAGTCAAAGGCTATAGGCGTGTCAGTATCTCCCACCATCCCACAGGACGCAAAGCCTCGCCCACTGTCACCAGGCTCTACTTCAAACTCGTGAGCTTCGAGGCCAGATGAGGTATGCTCTAGAAGTCAATGACTTCAGTGTGTCAGGCTCAGTCAGACATGAAGAAAGACAGGAGGAAAATCAGTGACCCTAACACCGATAGAGGCAAAGCAGAACCATAGAAAAGGGTTTCTTAAGAATCCAGGTAATAGGGAGGGAAACCTATAGAGACAGAAAGCAGATGACAGTTTGCTTAGGGCTGGGGGAAGGGGTGGGGATGGAGGGATGAAGGTGGCAGTTTTAGGATAGGAGGATTCTTTTTGAGGTGATGAAAATGTTCCAAAATTGAGGGTGGTCATGTTTGCATATATTGGGGAATATACTAAATGCCACTGAAATGTATACTTTAAATGGATAAATAGTATGGTACGTGGATTATATCTCAAAGCTGCTTTTATAAAAAGGACAGGGGGAAAGCTGGTAAAAAGTGAGGCAACAAATCCCAGGCAGAGAAGAACATGAGACTCCTACTCAAGACCAATTTGAGATGAGGTTTGCCTGAGTTCACACAATCAATGCTTATGTCATAAAAACCTTCTTGTTTCCAGGATGGCCACAAAGAGATTGCTCTTCTTGGAGGCCAAACTACTGCATATCTATAAAAAATATTTACTTCTTAAAGGCGAGAGCAATAACAAACTCATTCAACTTTTAACTGGCTAAGAAAAAAAATTCTATGCATTCCAGAATGAGCTAGACTAATATTCTGAACCAGGCCATAGTATCAGTTTTTAAAACATGCAAATTAATGGGATCTGGACTATGCCCTTTGCTAACGGAGTTAAGCTGAATTCATGCTCTATCAAAGAAACCCCTTTTCCTGACGTAAACAGCGCAGGCTGACACTCACCATTTGCGATGTCACCTTGAAGCTGCAGGATCTGAGGAACTGGCATCGTGAGGACAACAATATCAAACTGCTCAGGGGAGCCTGTTTCCTTGGAGACCTCCCACTTGTCATTTCTCAGGTTGATCTGGGTCACACATTGTCTGAAGCAGATATCGGCACCTGTTCCGAAAGCAAAAGCATGTTCACATAATCAGGATTTTCCATATGAATGAGAGGAAAGAGAAGAGTCACCAACTGGATCCACTCAGGGGAAGGAAATGGTGCCATTTGTCCTCTATGTCACCTAGGGTTCATTTGCATTACTTTCTCATATTGTAGGCATTTCTCTCCTTCTGGCATCCTTGGACCTCTCTAATAATGCCTGCTTTAGGGGGGAAAATACTATCACAATTAATAACAGTAACCATAGCTATTTTTCATTAGGCATCTATTTTATGCCAACACCATGCCAAGCACTTACTATACATCATAACAGTTAATTTCACAGATAAGGAAACAGATTCAGAAAGGTCATGCCATGATTTAAAGGTACATTCATCTGCCTTTGAAACGCATTATCATTGTAGAGCAAGTATACATTTCAGTAAAGGTGTTAACAATTCTTCTCTTTAATAATAGCAAGAAAGAACAATATTCCCTATAAAAGGAATTAATATTTCCTATTACACCTAAAAAAGGTACCTGTAAGAGAAATCAAAGTCCTCATCGATGGATTAATTACCTTTATTAAGAAGAATCAGAATAGAAATACAGCCTAGAATATCTCATCCCATTTTCCTTCTTTGCACTTATCACAAAGGTATTTTAATAATTATTTGATTAGTATTTTCTTCCCTTTTAATCTCATGAGCCTCATGCACCAGGAATTAAGTCTGTTTTGTTTCTACATATAGCATATAGCTTATATAGTATAGCACTTGGCATATATTTGGTATTTAATTAGTATTTGTTTAAGAGAATGAATTATGATTCATAAACTGAAAGATAAGAAAATATAATAAAATCATTAAGCCTCCTTGGTATGTTAGCACTCACCTCACTTCCAGTTTTCAGAAAACTTTGATTTAAAAACAAATCCACTTTTATTCTCCCCCAGGAATAGAAAAGAAAGAAATGAAAACGGAACAAGAAAAAAAAGCACACTGAAAGTTAGATACAGAGAACATTTTGATGGTTGCCAGAGAGGAGAGGGTTTGGGGGGATGGATGATAAAGGGGATGGGATTAAGATGTGCAAATTGCCCGTTATAAAAATAGTCACAGGGATGTAAAGTACAGCACAGGGAATATAGTCAATAATATTGTAATAACTATGTATGGTGTCAGATAGGTACTAGACTTACCAAGGTGATCATTTCATAAGTTTTATACATGTGTAATCACTATGTTGTACACCTGAAACTAATATAATAGTGTATGTCAACTGTAATTGAAAGATAAAAAATGATTTAAAAACAAAACAAAACACTGGAATATCCTGCTCATCATTACCTGGGACACCTCATGTTCCCAGCCCAGAAATATCCAGCTTAAGTCCAACCTCAGCCAGGAAGCTTCCTTTCTGTAGCTAATCCAACTCAATGTGATCCTTCTCATCTGTGATGTCCTTTGACCACCACTGCCTGTATCACTCATTCTGACATTGACTCAAAATATCTGTATGCTTTAGGTATTTCTTATCTATCCAAAAATACTCCAGGCTCCTCCATGTCAGTCAGGTCTCCAGAGCTAATAATGCACCTTTACATCTTTCACTGTCCCTTCAATGATGCCACAACCTAGTAAGCACTCAAATTTTTAAAAACCAAATGCAAATATGTTAGAAGGAATAAGGTACTAACTAGGCCCTGGGGTCAATCTCTCTTTGAGGGAATTAGCATCACTGTGCTCCAAATTTAGAGCAGGAGTTTGTAAACTGTGCTTCAACTTGCCTAAGGGTTCCTCTAAGGCCCCTGCTTGGGGAAGGTGCAAATAATTGGAGCTTTCAACTCACAACCACCAACCATCTCCTTCACTCCAACCAGAGCAGCTCCATTTCACTCTGTTCTACTTATTTAGGGTGTCTCACCCCTGATTTACTTGCCACACTTGCCTCACTCTGTCGCTGGCCCTCAACTAAGTCACCTGATTTTATGTTTTATTCAATGATGTTTTAATATAATAATCCCTTTGAAAGGAGCAATCTTTGTTATTGGTGCTGCTGAGCACATGTGTGTTTAAGGGAACTGAAATCCACCAACCTAGAAATTCTCCATACTCAGCCAAACGTCTTAGACATATATCCCAGTGACCCCAAAATGTTCTGCAAGGTATATGTCAGTGGTTCTCTAAGTGTGGGCCCCAGACAAGCAGCACCAGCTACACCAGGAGCTTGTCAGAAATGCACATTCTCAGGCCCCTGAATCTCGGGGGGTCAGGCCCAGCAGTCTGTATTAAAGAAGCCCCCCCACCCCCCAGGCTTGTTATGATGCACATTAAAGTGTGAGAACCATAAGAATAGATGACAGACCCAAATCTAACACCACAACTGACAAAATCACCCAAAAGGTAGTATCTGCCAAGAGTTAGGGGCAATAGGATAGCGGCTCTTACTAGCCAGGAAGTTTTCCTTTCCTTCTACGAGCAGTGACGTTTCTGGGAAAGTGGTATTTCCTCGTGAAAGTAATTAATAACTTCCAAAAGGACCACATGTTAAAATCTGTAGGCTCTGGAAACTCTCATTTTAAAACAGAGAGCCACATAAAATCTCCCAACAGTTAATTCTGAACTTGGTAAATTTGACCATGTCCCTCTCTCGCGTAATATTCTTCAACGGCTGCCCACTGCACATAAGTTAAAATACACAATCTTTAACACTGCTTACAAAGCCTCTTATGATCTGGCCCCTACCTTAGTCTTGAGCATCATCTCTTACCACTGTTGCCCTCATTCACTACCTTCCTGTCACAATGACTTTTTAGCTCCTCGAATGCATCAACTTGCTCCTCCATTACAATAGCTCCAATTTCATGTGTCCGCTGCATGGAATTCTCATCCATCAGCTCTTGGCCTGGTTCACTCTTGCTTACCTTTCAGGTACCCATGAAAACAGCTCCTCAGAGACACCGTGCCTGACACACTCCCTGCTCACTCCTCTGAAACTCATATTGGGTTACGTCCTCTTCTTATACGCTCTCTCATAACGTTCTCACGCCTTCTTCTTAGCATTTATTATGTACTGTTTCATTTGTGTGTAATTGGTTTAATGTCTTTCCTCCCTCCCCACAACACTCTACATTAACAAAGAGAGGGACCATGTCTCTTATTTACCACTGTTTCCCCAGCACGTATTCAATATTTTTAAAATCAACAATAGCTATAAAGACATCAGAACACTAAGAAGATTTCAATGATTTACAAAGGCAAATGTGTTTCTGTTACCTACTTATTCAATTTTATCCCCTGCCTTTTCCCATTTCAAAGAGAAAACTTAAATTCATTTTCCTCCTACAATTTCCTACAAATAGGTTTTAGGGAGCAGCAGTTCAGAACTGATGCGATGGAACCTGAAAAGAAGTGAACAATGTCTAGCTAAACACACTGCTTAAAGTAAACAGAAGAATGCTTAATCAGGGCTCACAGGCTATCCTCTAGCTTGTCTCTGAAGGACACTGTTATGGATGAACGCCGTGATCACCCACCTGGGAGAAATTTTGAGACAAAACATCCCAGACTTACTTCTACTATATACATCAATTTCAGAAAGAAAATAAACACAAAAGTAGAAAGGGAGAGAATGATTAAAGGAAATATATTACCAGAAAGAAGCCACCCTAGGCAGCTGCATCTGCAAATTAAACCATCTTTTCTAATAAATTGATCCTGTCAACTCTTGACAGGTTATATTGTACATGTTGATTTTACATATTGTTAGCCAAAGTCCCTTTTAAAGTAGATGGGAAAATAAAAACAAATAAATGCAGCAATATTTCTCCCTATTGGTAAGCCAAACAAAATAAAAGTTTATCACCCTGTCCTGGAAGTTCAATTCATCCTCTCATGAATGATTTAATAATATTAGCCTATTCCAAGGCAAAAAACCTTGGCTCGTCACTGTCCAAATGTCATAGTCAGGGACCACCTGGTAACTGATCTCTCTGGTTGCATACAGAAATAAAACTGCATACTCCTTTATGGTCCCTTTCCCCCTGGGGCAAGGGTTACCCATGAAAGAGTAGAACTAGGAAAAGGTCACTATGAGGTTGTTCTCTTGAACCGTGTGTCCTCTGACTTGTAGAAGGAAGAGAGCAATCTTTCATACTGTAGGGGGAAAGTCAGGAAGGAAAAAGGAGGCCCTAAAAAATAAATGTGAAATCAGAGGCAGAGGATATGAGCCATTCTCATTGCCTCCATAGGACAGTTACTAGGAAAAGAAAACAGGTCAGCTTAAAGGGAGTTCTGGTTCTCTTACTTACTAGCCAACCCACCCTAGGCAAAGTGCTTAACTTCCCCGAGTCCCGATTTTCTCGCTAGTAAATGGGGATAATGATAACTACCTTCAATGGTTGTTGTGAGAGTTAGAAATGATGTATGTAGAATGCCTAGCATAGTGTCAGACTAGTTAGTGCTTAATTAATGAGAGTCGCTTTTTTTTTGTTTGGAATTTCTCCAACCCCACCGAAACCCAACAATTTAAAAAAATAAAACCAAAAAAAAAATCACATTTCACTCACTCAAGGAGATTGTATCAATGAGAGAAGGCAGACAGTTGGTAAAATTGATATCAACAAATACAGTTTTCTCTGTAATAATGTGAATACATCAGACAAAAAATAAGAACACAGCATAGCTCAAGAGGTATGTGACTATTTCCCTCTGACCTTTACTACTTGTTCTAGGAAATTGGTCTACTTAAATATTGGCTTCAGAGATTTGAACCTATTCTCAAGCATGCCTGATTAGACATATCTCATACAGGTAATTTTCCTGGACGTCTGGTCCAAAACTAAATGACTATTAGTTGGTCCATCAGACTGTGGGATGGCAAATTCAACTAATTCTAAAATGTAGAGCATTTTTGGAATGACTTGACAACTTGAGTTGTTGAACTGGAGATATACAAGGGTCAGCTTCATTCAACTCGATTATTTTTTAAACTAATATTTAGCAAATGATTACTATGTACCTGAACTATTACTTGCTTGGATTGACAGTGAGAACATTATATCCTTTATGTCTCACAACAATGTTACAAAATAACAAGGTACTGTTATTACTCCAATTTTTTTCAATGAAAGAACCAAGCTATAGATTTTTAAACTTTCCTAATATTACATAGCTAGGAAGGGGTGGTAGATCATTAATTGGAGTCCAGATCATTCTGATTCCAGGGACTCTCTCAACTTATATTGTGAAAATACTAAAATTCTTTTGTGGACCATTTATAGGATAGAAAGCTTTAAAGAAGCTTAAAAGACATTTAAGGGATATAATTAAAATTAAAAGTGGTATAGATATATAAATCCATATCTACATCATTATACCAACCTACTATGTACAAGGTACTGTTAGATTCTGTGTGAGCTACAAATAATTATGACCTCTTTTCCCAAGAGCTTCCACAGCACAATTGGAAGATAAAAACATAGATACCCACAAACACCTAACAAAATAAGGATGTAGGTGCAGTGGATTGAAGGACTGTCCCTCTGCCAGAACATCAGTTATATGAGGGAAGGGACTTTGGTTCTTGTATTGTTAATGCCTAAAATAGTGTCTGGCATGTAGTAAGTACTCAGTAAATGTTTATTGAATAAATGGATGTAAACCATGCATAGCTGGATATATAATACAGTCAGTAAGTACTTGAGGATGTTAATAAGTATGTACATCTAACTTGAATCAAATGAAAATCATGAGAGAGATGAGATTTTTAAAAGTTATATGGTGGCAATACATGAAGCTGATGGTAACAAAATACAAAATGTCCAATGGTCTCACCATCTGTGATGGTTAATTTCTGTGTCAACTTGATTGAGTCATAGGATGCCCAGATATAGGGTCAAACATTATTCTTGGAATGTCTGTGAGTGTGTTTTGGATGAAATTAACATTTAAATTGGTAGACTAAGTAAAGCAGCTCCTAATATAGGTGGGGCTCATCCAATCAGTCCAAATTCTGAATAAAAGGAAAAGGATGACACTTCCACAAGAACTCTTTCTGGGTTTTTGTTTTTTTTTTTTTCTCCTGTCTTTGCATTCTAACTAAACATTGGCTTTTCCTGGGTCTTGAGCCTACTAACCTTTGTACTGGAACTACATCATCAACTCTCCCGGTTCTGAGGCCTTTGGACTGGAACTAAACCATCAACTCTCTTGGGTCTCTAGCTTGCCAACTCCCGCTGCAGATCTTGAGACTTGCCAGCTTCCATAATCACATGAGCCATTGCTTTATAATAAATCCGTATCTATCTGTCTATCTGTCTATCTATCTATCTACCTACCTATATCTCTATACACACACACACACACACACACACACACACACACACACACACACACACACGGTACATACATACTGTATATCTCCATCCTACTGGTTCTGTTTCTCTAGAAAATCCTGACTAATACACCATTATGGCCTGAATCCTAGAGAAATGGTCTAACCCAGAATGGTATTTACTATGTTCTCATACTGTATATGCAATCTCACTGACATCTCCCATGCCTAGTATCAGGGATTCTCAAGGTTCTCAATAAGTAATATTTGATGAAGAAGACTACAACAATAATTATTCTAGAAATAGCTTATGAAACAAATTCTCAGCCTATGCCTTTCCTAAGTGATCTTGAATTTGGCACTTAATTATGATTCATCAAGAAGCCTACTTCTGCTTAAAAAATTAATTTATCATCCAAGATCGTTTATAATCTATTTTTTTATTAAAATTTATTGGGGTTACAATGGTCAACAAAACCACATAGGTTTCAAGTGTACAATTCTATAATACATCATCTATATATTGCATTATGTGTTCACTACCCAGAGTCAGTTCTCCTTCCATCACCATATATTTGACCCCCTTTACCCTCTTCTATCACCCCCTTCTCCCCTTCCCCCCTGGTATCACTAAACTGTTGTTTGTGTCTAAATCATCTATTTTTTTAAAAGTCCATTTTTAAAACATTCATAAAATATATAAAGAAAAAATGAAAATCCTAACAGAAAATGGACAGCACCTTTCTATGAACATTCACAGAAAAAATACAGTTGATTAACAAAACAAAGATGCATAATTCACTCATAATTAAGTCAATGCAAATCAAAACATAAGGAGATACAATTTTTTAACCTATCATATTGGCAAAAATTAAAATTTTCATAATACCAAGATGTGTGGAAAGTGGTGTTCTCATTCACTATTGATGATGAGATATTCTTTAAGAAAAATAGATGACACAGTCCAGTTAAATTAAAAAATGCACATACCATTTGACACAGCTATTGTACTGTTAGGAATTGGTCCTACAGAAGTTTACAAAAGTATGTGAGGGTTAGACATGAAGCAATATTGGTATAAGCAAGAAAACAATTCCTTAGCTCCAAAACAACTTAAATATTTACCAGAAAGTTAATAGTTAAATAAATGATGGTACACATATACCATGTAATACTGGACAAGTATTGAAAAGAACAAAGCATATTGAATTTGCTGATATGAAAACAGATCCAAGATATGATTCAGTCCATGATGGTCTATTAGGATTTTCCAAAGAAATAGATAGTATTAATATTTAATTATGTGTATAACTTTTATTTTTAAATGCTAATTTTAGAAGAAGGCAGAAAAATCCTATTCCCACCTGATTCTTTCAAGTAATGCTTAATAATTGAAGAAACTCCTTGAGGTGCCACAAAGTTACAGTCTCCTTCTTTCATCACCATTCCTTCAATAGGAGAGGTCAAAGGCTTCAAAATGCCATGAGCTAGCAGTTCATCATAAAAACTGAAATAAATCAATATATATAACATAATTTATTCACTATAATCTCTAAAAAATTATATTCTCTTAGAAGAATTCTTAGCTATTGTAATACTAAATAACTAGAAATTGTCATGATTATCAATGTATGTTTTGTGTTAATAAAACATAATTTAGGTGAAGAATAGAAATGTTTTGAAAAATCCATAAATCTTTTGCTGACATTAACCAAAGGCCTGTTTTCTTATACATTTGAAAATTAATGTCAGTGAAGATAGACAGAAAGGTATTCAGTACACCAATTTGAAATTGGTTAAGATTGACTCATCACAGCTATTTTGTCCTCTTCCTCTGCACCAACACAGTAACTGATATTAATTTAGCCCTTACTATGTTCCAGGTAACATCTCATCTGACCTTCACAACAAACCTACGAGGCATGTATTATAGTTTTCCCACTTTACTCAGGTTAACCTTTTACTTCTAATACCATCAACAATGAGAATATCGCAATAATCGCACTATATTACAAGAGGCAAAGTTTAGCCTTGTTAAAAATGGATGTTTTGTATCTTTTTAAATCAAGCCACTGGTAAGACTGATTCCACCCCTTTCAACTAACTCACCTTTGGTGTTTTTTGGCATAATGAGGAGTGCAGGTGATGTACTGTGCACCCAAGTCGACTGTGCTCTGTGGATTCTGAGGGCTGCAGGCAGTAGTCATTCTTCCCCCTGGAATTAATCCACAGGAAACTGTCTGAGTGTATTGGAATGAACCTTTTGCAATTAATGCTATTCACTCCATGTTAATGGACTACTTTACAGCTGTGTTAGAAAACGTTTCTAAGTTGAAGGCTTTGTCATTTAACATTGTCAGGAAGAAGTTGAGAGAATCTGGTCACTGATTGTGAGATACATTTTTAAAAAGACACATGAATAAAATGCAGCAGTGTTCAGCACTGTGCCTGGTGCATATATTTACTAGTTTGAATGAAAGGAATGAATGAATGGATAAACTAATGAGTGAAATGTCAGAATGAATCAGTCAATGAATGCTTTCACTCTTTCAGTCAGGATTCATGAGAGTAACAGGATCCTGTAAGCTAGATCTTCGGCAAGTCTTGGTCAATGGGCACTTTGGGACACTCATGACCTGGAGAAAGCTGCAAAGGCACAGACAGGCCAAACTATAAAGACATTTATCGGCGACAACGGTAGGCCCAAGCTTCGCAGACTCGGGCCTCATTCTGCAGCGCGCCCAACACTCTCGCGCCGCCACCCAAGCTGGTCCGCCACCCCCACCCTCACCCTCGCCCCCTGGCCTTTTCGGGGTGGCGGAAGACTCCAGTCACGTGAGGAGGCGCGCACTGCGTGGGCCGAGCCGCGCGGGGAGCCAAGTGGCTGGGTTTTCTGCACAGACTTTCCTCGCTGGGGCCCGCGCCACGGCAGAAACCGATGTCCGCGCCGACCTCTCTTTCTGCGTTTCGGCTCGTAGACGACCCACCTGAGTCCCCAGCCTTGTCCCACACAACAAGGTGCAAAGGACGGGCCGTCTCCTTTCTCAGCAGCGCTGCGCACACGCTTCCTGTCAGCCCGGCGCCCACGATCAGTACCCGCGCCATGGCCCGGAGTCTCCGCGGCGACGCTGGCCCGCTGGCCACTGGGGAAAGGGCCGCAGGAGGCCGAGCCAGCGTCTCCGGGCTCCGCGCTCCAGGCCCCGACCTGCCCCCTGAGCAGTGCCGCCGGCCGGCCTGCAGGGGGCAGAGTGGAGGCGACCGGAGTCGAAAGGACAGTCAGCCCTCCCCGATGGGAGCTGCGAAGCTCGGCTTTCCCCTCCGTGTGAGGGCCGCCAGCCGGCTTCTAAGGCCCGCTGGCCCTAGGAGATGAGCTGCAAACTCCGCCCTGCCCCTCGCCTAGAAATGCCTGGAAGTCGTGTAGGTTAGAGTGTGAGAACCCGCCTCTCCACGGGGCTGGTGCCAGCTACAGCTGAGACCCAGCCCCGCGTGACTGCAGGGTGACTGCCTGTCTCTGCCTGGTGGGACCTTTGCTCTTCTAACGTTCTAACTCTAAAAGTAGGGACCGGAGGGAACACACCAGCGACACCAGAGTAAGCTGGCTTCCAGTGCCTTAATGGCCACTCTTCACAAAATAGAAAACGATTTCGGAATCAAGGGGATAGTTTTCTTAAACTAGCCCTTGGGCTTTGTGTATTGATTGTTCTACTGGGTTGTGCTTCAATTCCTTTTGCAGTATCCCCCATTAGGTGCTCGTCCAGTTTTTGTTTGAAGGCTTCCCAATTGGAGGGCTACTTCCTGCAGAAATTTGCTCCATTGTTAGATGCATCTACTTAAAATTATGCCTTAAATGTGCTGTTGAAGTTCAGCCAAAATCTTTCTTGTAGTTTTCACCAGTTGGGGATGCCTCCCAGTTGTACGGTGTTGCGCCAGGTAGAATTTATGGCAAGAGGGCGTCTCAGGCTTCCTATCCATTGTGATGTGGGCATTTTCTCATTTGCTAGATGTGGAGAAGTCACTCACCTAGTTTCTGGATTTCTTTCAGAAGGCATTGCTCCATATGTTCATTCAGTGTGTCCATGGGAGGAGGAGTGTTCAGGAGATTCCTATGACTTCATCTTTAAAAATCGCTCAAGTCATTATATTATAGACGTGTAACTCAAGATTTCACAAAGTTAAGGGACATTGTTTAACAAAAGTCTTTCTATTCCTATCTACTTGTTATGTGAACAAGGTATCTAAGCACTGTTTCAATTATTTCTCACTCATTTATTGTAGAAACGATAGTATACTGTCCTAGTCACTCAGTCAAAAATATTCTTTTCCTTGGTGTATCTTCTCTGGATCCCTGCATTATTCATAAATTTGTAAATGCACTGTTTGCATTTTAAATATTTGAGCCTGTTCTATATATTTTTTACATATTGTTATTCACATCCAGTTT